TTTCCTTTTGCGTGTGTTCAGCACGGTGACTCATATATCTTTTCGGCGTTCTCCACTAGCATTGGTCCCACAGACTTGACCGTTGGAACACTATCTCCGGATACGCAGTCGACGATCCCAACCGGCGAGTCGTGAAGGTCAATTCGCTGAATTTATCGCTGACACTGTGCATCACTTGCAGTTACCGACAATCTATTCTCGCAAGGAACTATTCCTCAGGATCTTGTTGCTGTCTCGTTCGAGCCCACCACGTCAGACTCCATTACCAACGGTGAGCTGACGTTCGGAGGCACCGATTCAAGCAGGTTCACTGGCTCCATCAGCTTCGCGTGAGTGATATAGCATTCCACTCTAGCCTGTCGGCCGTGCTGACCAGTGTGCACAGCCCTCTCACTACCACATCACCTGCATCGGCTTTCTGGTACGTGATGATGGCATTCCATAAGATATCTACGACCTTATTCAAATCTCAGGGGTATTGATGAGAGCATCACCTATGGCACGTCGAAGACTAGCATCCTCACCGAGACCGCCGGTATCGTCGATACCGGAACCACGCTGCTTTTAATTGCCTCAGGTATAGTGGCTGATTGCATGGCATTGTACTGCACCTCGCTTAGTACCGTTCTCCCGTGCAGACGCCTTGACTCGCTACCAGAGCGCCACGGGTTCTGTGGAGGACGAGACTACTGGCCTTCTCCGCGTCACCACAGCCCAATTTACAAACCTGCAGAGCCTGTTCTTCAACATTAACGGCGTGACGTATGAGTTTACCGCGAACGCCCAAGCATGGCCGGTAAGCCCACATAGAGATTCTAGCCGGTCGTGCGCTTGTTCACTTCGAGTCCTACAGAGGGCGCTGAACACAGCGATTGGCGGGAACACCGACAGCATTTACCTCATTGTCGGTAGCATTGGCACACCAACCGGCGAGGGCCTCGACTTCATCAATGGTCAGGCCTGGCTGGAGCGGTTCTACGCTGTCTTCGTCAGTTCTTTTGTCTGCTATCGTTCATTCAGCGGTCTGACGAACACTTTCAGGATACTACGAACAGGCAGGTGGGATTCGCTACGACTTCCTTCACCGATGCGACGACGAACTGAGTGTATAGTGTTATGCTTGTGAGCACAATATGGCTTGCGCCGAAATGTGGCTCTTGGATTGCGTATTTTAATATACACGAAAGATGCAGTGACACGGGTGGCCGACATGAAAAAGGATCAACAGGCGTTGTATGCTCATCGAATCTGAGTCGCAGTGGCTACATACGCGAGGGTCTGGCCAACGAAGAGGCCTTAGAGCTACCATATACGGAGTGTTTGTACAGTGGATACTCAACGCCTCCTATCAGCCCCGTTTTGTATACGACTACCATGTCCACTCGCGCCGTCCTACCTCTGTGCCGCCTCTGCACGAGATCGGCACCGCCGAACGTTTCCGCCAAGCTCATAGCTGAGTTGCGGGGATTCACCAGGATCTATAGCAGCAACGCTCGCGGAGCTCTCACCACCCCACGCAACGCGAACGAACGCAGCGTCCCATCGCGGTCGTGTCAAGTCTGGCATGAAGGAATGTCATCGTGTGGCATTACGTCAGTGTACCGACTGCCTTGTCACTCTCAAAAACGGAGACGAAGCGCAAATTGCCAATATTATCGCACAGTTACAGTCGCGTTTCAAAATTTCAGATCGCGACTTTGAGAAGGCGAGAGCACCCACGCCTTAGCTGCTCCAGAATGGGGCGATCTTGTCGGCAAACACGGACTAGACCGCAGCCCTCTGTTCCATCTGAACGGCCTTCAGTGTCATAGTGTTCCAAACTGCCGCCTGCCTCTTTCGTTCCACGAAAACGCATTCCGGGCATCTTGGCGAACGGTGGATGTTTACTTGGAAGAGACAGCCTGAGCACGTGCTCTTGAGCCGGTAAGTAGCCTGACAACATCATCTCAATGTGTAAACTCCTTGATAGCACACTCTGTACTAGTCCCTAGAATCGCTCATCGAATATTCTTCCGCGGACGTGTCAACGATAGGCATGAGTATCCTTTACTAGCAACAGATCACACCTCAGGAGGAACAGCTGAGCACAAGGTACGTATTCTTTACTTCACTCAAGATCATGATGTTCGAGGTGCACCAGTACTAACACTTGCACAGATCTTTGCAGTCGATACTGCTCCGTTTTTTGTTGTCGAGGTGAAACGCCTTGCACAGAATGATGGAAAAAATGTCGCTCGGTTATTTATGGAGCTACTATGTCAGTGAACTGTCCTCATGCCCACAAGCAGGTATCTGACTGGTTTCTAATGCAGCTGTGGGTATATTAGTGCTACCAGTGTTAGCATACCTTAGCTAACGATAAAACATTGCAGTCGCAAACAAGATCTTCAGTGTACCGCTGGCGGGTTACGTTGGTGTCCTCGAAGTTAATCTCGCTATAGCAGAATAGACTGCTGAGGTCGAGCCGGATGCTAAGGTAAAACAGATTACTGTCATTGCGCCATGAACCTTCCTGACCAGTTGATAACTCAAGCGGCAGATCGATGAATTGTGCGACGCACTCACTTTCGCTCGCGAAGCACAAGCAATCCTCACAGGTCAATGGGAGAATTTAGATGCGCTCGAGATGCGCGGTACGAAAGGCATGGCGGTGCTCGAGAAGAGGTTCGTTCACGCTTTACCTTGAATGTGCAGCCATCTTATGAGCACAATCCAGTGTACTGTGTATTCCACGTGAAACAGCGCTCACCATGGTAGCGGAAGAGCCCTGATCTGCGCAGGAGCTCAGAGAGATGGCGAGCAGATGTGTAGACGAGTGCAATCTGGGGAGGCTACGCTCTTACCAGCTGCACAAGTCATCCTCTACCCTCGACACTTTCCAATGACCACTTGGTCATATCTTTGTGTCCGACGCGCTTGTCGTTCACTGAATAGTATGATGTCCTGCCACCACCACCGCCGCATTTTAGTTTTATCTTTATTTTGCCGCTTTTTTCTTTTTTTCTCGACTATCCGTTCGCAACACCTGGGAATTGTCGAGTTCAGCCTCCAATCGAACGGTTTTCATGTGTCATCTGTAGTACATAATATTGTACAGCAGCCTACCGGTGGCTGCCATCGATTTCGTCGCATTTTATCGTCTTTTGTAGAAACTAGCATTAATCTATGGCTAGCTGGGACGTGCGCGAGTTTAAACCCAGCATTCTGGCCAGGAGGCGCCTGGGTGGGAGAAGTCGCGCGGCATCTGAGATGACAATAGCCCCGGCAGTCTCCGCACAAGCGTGTGGCGCTAACAAAGCTAACTCCACTGCAACGCCAGCCTTGCAGTGACATCTCGGAAAGTTACAAGCGGAGCTAGAAGGCTCTAGATTTCATCATATATTCCTACCAAGCTACGCACTTCCACCAGAAAATAGTTTAAGTTCTCCTTGGACATCTTACTCGTCATCTGCGATTTTTTGCGCACGTCTTGCCAACTGTAGGAACGCGTTAGTAGGAGGGAGCTGAGCGGAAGTAGAGGCACACGTACAGCGGCTGCAAGATCCATCTGACCAGGAGCGGCAGGCTTGCCGCCACCTCCGGGTTTGGGTGCGGGTGGTGCTGTGGGTGGTCTTGACGCCGTCGGTATGGGCGGCTTGCCAGGTGCTTTGGGAGCGCCAGGTTTATTGGCTACCGGGGGCGCAGGAGGCTTGGGCTTGTTGGCAACTGGTGGGGGTGGCGGCTTGCCAGCGAGAGCGCTTGCGGGTCGAGAGCTCGCAGGCGAGCTATCTTCCGAGCCGTTGGATACTGACAGGGTCTTCTTCCAAGGAGTAGCTGAGCCGTTCGCTGGTGCCATGCCTGGGAAAACTGACACCGGCTTGGCAGAGACATCCGCAGAGATATGCTTCGGCACGATCTTCGATCCTGCGAGAGCAGCTGGAGCCACAGGAACTACAGAGGACCTCTTCGTTCCTGCTCCAGGCGGTGGGGGAGGCGGTGGAGCGACGGCTGCCTTCGATTTGGGCGGCATCAGCTCGAGATAGTTATTGGGTGCCCAGCCCTCCTTTCCGTCCTTCTTGACCAGCCACCATCCGTTGTCGTCTTTCTCAACAAGCTCAACAATGTCGTCCTTCTTAAGAGCCATCTCGCCCTCCTGGCCGTCGAATGCGAACTTGGCCTTGTACAGCTCAACATCAGGTTCGGGAGGAGGGGGTGGTGGTAGAGCAGCCGCTCGAGGCGGAGGCGGAGGCGCTCGTGAAGCTGCACTCGACACGGTAGAGGCCGCAGATGTTGAGGGTGCCGGCGGAGGTTTGACCGCAGAGGTTATAGATTTGCCTGGGAGCGGCTGAGCAGCAGGCTTCGGCCTTGATGATGCAGGTTTCTATCAACTATATTCAATGTATGCGGTTTGTGTGCAACGTCAGAGACTTACATCCGGGCCTCCCCTCTTAAGAAGCTTGCCTTGGGTGATATGACGCACAACACCTTCCTTGCGCTTCGGCATGGGGCGAGACAGACTGCTAGGCGCTTCGCCGGACGGGACTTGCACGGTATGACTCTTGTAGTTATCGTCACTCTTCACCATGTCATTCTTCACAAACTTGACCGCATCCTTCTTCTCTTTCTTCTTAGTGTAATCAATGCTATGTTGGATCGGGAGGTGAGCAGCGACAATTGGAAGACAAGTAATAACATACGTTGGTCCAGCGTGCACTTGAATCATGCCCGAAGTGAGTGTCAAGAGATGTGTAATGAGCTCTGTCTTGAAGACGCAGTGGATAAGAGGATCTCCTTCTTCAGTGGGACCGAGGTTCAAAGCCTAAGAATAAGAGGCATAAGGCATAAGTGCAATACATGATAGTCGAACGAAGGGTCCTCACGATCCAGTCATCCTGCAAATTCGACATGGAGATAGACTTGATGCTGCCAACAATAATCTTGCGCTCTACATTGATACCAACTGTGCCGTCCTTCGCCTGCAGGTTGGCAATGATGCACAGTGCCCTTGCGGTCTACAAACCAAGTAGTCAATCCAGATGCAGCTTGAGAGACGCAAACCGGAGCAGCTTACCACCACCAAGAATCTGGGACTGAGTTTGCTCGTGCGACCGAACTTGGAGACAAGAACCTGGCAGCGTGAGCTGAAGACGACCCTCTCCGAAGTGCCACATGCAGCAAGCAATTCTTCACCGAGGGAACTCTTGCCGTTGCAGTCCAGGTAATCGCCCATGAATCGCCTGAGACCCAATAAACTGAAGCGGCGCCTCTCCTTCCGTCCGGCAAGGATCTGGTGGCCGTAGTCGCGGACCTTTGCGTATTCGATGCCCTCCTTGTTGTTCTTCCAGAATCGCTGGATGCGGCGCGCGCACTCGTGCTTGTAGCGAATATAGTTGCGCCACGCGCGCTGGATGCGGCCTGCCATGTTGTGCCAGTAGCGGTCGCGCATGGTTTCGAGCGCAAAGAGGGTCTCGGGGCTCTTGATGAACGCCTTCGTGACACCCATTTGCCACTCTTCACGCGCAATACCCGTGTCGGTTAGGATACGCTCACAGCCAGACTTGGCATCGCCTTGCCAAGTGTATTCGCCAGCGTAAGACGTTGCTGGGGATAACAGATAGAAACGTTCGACGATCTTTTCGAATGTATTCCTGTAGGCAAAACCGGCACGTCTGACGCGAATGTTCTCCTGAAGACCGAGATACTTGATCTGATGCAGGACTGCCTGGGTGTCGAATTCTGATGAGCTACGGTTCTGGTTGGGTTTAATCGTACGGATGTACGAGGGTCGGCATCGCATGAGATTCTCCACAAGGGCTTGAGCGGATTGCTAGAGTTAACATCTAAATACATACAACAAAATCAGCGTATTTGTGGCGCACCTTAATCCTGTCGCCAGCAGTAGGGGGCCGCTTCTTGCTATTTGGGTCTGGACGATCGGGGAAGAGCGATTGCAAGAACTGGTTACCGCTCATGCCGATGAGATCAAGCATATCCTTGAGCAGTAAGTCCTTGTTTTTGTCGGTCATACCCGCCACATTATACATGACATCTCCAGCATAGTGCTTGATGAGGAACTGTGCGCCACGGACTTCGAAGTGGGGATTAGATGCCAGCGAGGCCGCACGCTGAATAAAGCTGTTGTCTGCCGCAGAGGGGTCGGCATGCGCAGTCGCACAAGCGTCGTTGAGTGTAGCAAAAATACCAGGAGGCCGACGTTCTTCGATGAGGTCGCACACAATCTTGTTGTTGAAGTACTTGATAGGATTCCATTTGATCTGCTCCCGGACGTATTCCTCTTGCTCGCTCTTCAGAGTTAGCTCGATGAAGATCTGCTGCAGTTTCTCGTTCACGTAGTTGATACAAAGCTGTTCGAAAGAATTGTCCTCGAAGATCTCGAAACCGAAGATGTCCTGGATTGAATAAGATTAGTCGAGCACTCAATACTGGTATATAATACTCCGCCTACAAGAATACCAATCAGCTGCGCGTGCGCTGTGCGAGGATTCATCTGCACGTTGATCTTGGAAACGATCCACTCGAACAAGTTATTGTAGATTGCCTTTGCTAGGGCATCCCTAGTCGAGCCAGCTTGCGCTGGATTGTACGGAACGTCGTAGACGGAGCCTCGGCGGCCATTACGTTGAGTCTCCATGACACGCAGGGTCATCGCCTTGTGAACTAGTGCGGGCTCCACCTCCATCAGATAACCGACAAAATCGGTCACGCTTGTGTCGGCAACTTCTGCATTTCCATCGTCCTTCTCCGCGAACTGAACATTACCGAGCCAAAGGATGACCGCGAGCATACGGAAGATCTCGCTTTGCTCCTGGTCTGTGAGACCGATGATTTGCATAGCGCGCTGAAAAACTTTGTCAGCGTCAATTCACATTATGTATATGCGCGAGCTCACCAAAGTCTCATCAAAATCTTTGACGTCGTCAATACCCGCAACTTCTAGACAGTTGCTAATGCTCGTGTATGCGTACGCCTCCGGTGTCTGGATGCCAAAGACCTCTAAGGCATGGTCAACTCTACGCACTTGTACTCGTATGTATGCAGTCTCACCTCGCTGTTCCGGGGAAGCGGCTTTCGTGAACTGGTAGAAGATATGGAAGTTACGCTCGTTCTCTACTTGTCCCACAACTCGACCCTTTTCTAGGAGATAGTTTGTAATTTGGGCTCCGACGGGCTCTCCATGATCGTTGAACATGATCTCAAGGTATTTTCCCTGCTCAAATAAGTCAGCTCTGGTACAAAGGATAGCCTTCAAAAACCCAGCTCACGTGTCGACTTGAGTTATTATTCCTCAGAGTCTTCGCGCAACCAAAACTCTCTAGGAGGGGATTCGTCGCGAGCACCATATCCTTGATTTCTTGAATGCTGCTGTCGCGTCCACCTGAAACTGCAGCAACATATTGCATGATACGCTTCGCCGCTTCCGTCTTGCCAGCCCCCGACTCTCCAGAGATAATAACACACTGGTTCTCGTGGTACGCGTTCATGTTATAGTAGGCGGATTCTGCAATACCGAAGACGTGCGGCGGGACTTCGAGTCGATTCTTGCCCTTGTACTTCTGCAAGACCTCATCGGTGTAGATCCCCAGGTCTGGAGCGCGTTCATATGAGATCCAGACCACTCGGTATAGAGATACGCACCTTTGAACGGATTGACCGAGATCAGCACGCCACCGATGTACGTGTATATCTCTCCGTTCTTCCAACGCTTGTCCAGGTTCTCGTTAATGGCCTCGTTCGTGGTTGTGGTGAGCAGCGTCATGTCAGACACGCCGACCTGTTTCTTCTTGAAGCCTTCCTTCCAATCCGCCTAATCCCATCTGAGCTCAGCTCAGTCGACTACAATCGATCCCCTCAACACACCTTGGCCACCTGTGCCCTTCCCCCTGCCGCCCCCTTCTTGGGCTTTGCCTCCACTTTCTTACCGGCCTTCTTGGACGGTGCCTGTGGATTTGAAGTTACAATACAGCTCAGACAGACAGATATCACAAACACTCACCATAGTGCAGTGTACGTCTCACAAGACGTGTAGTGCTGTTATATCGATGTCTGGCACGACCGTGCGTTGCGATACCCGCTTGTAGCCGCACCGGAGTTGCGAGGGCACGCGCCGCCCGATCTATGTCGTAGGTATGAATTCGAGTCCAGCCGCCCCGTAGCTGGGTCGGGCGTGGTGGGATGGGAGTGCAGTGCAGAGGGGAGAGTGTTAGTCAAGAATGAGTAGAGACCAGAGTATCACGACGTCGTTGTCCTAGACGATGACGGTGCGGATTCCAGACCCGCAGTACCGGCGCTTACGCTAGGGCACGGATATTCAGCCGCGCAATTCTATACGCTGTGATTCTTCGGACTGACTGGCGCGCACATGTGTACCGCACCGACAGCCGGCGACATCCTCACGAATGTCGTCTGCTCTTTATAAGTGAATTCATTGCCCAAAGGTACATGGGACGAATACAGCATTATTTCATGCAGTGACTGGGACCCCGGCATCCAGCATTAGCTTCAAAGCCTCCGCCGCAGGGATTAAAGCGGGACTGCTTCCACCAGCCCTGAACACGCGGACCAGAGCCTGAGCCAGTCCAATCTCTTGAGCTCGCTCGCCCAGTTCTTTACGTGCAGCCATGTCGACTCCAGTAAACCAGTTCCGTATAGACGCAGCGCCGCGATGAACCAGCCTAGGATCAGGCGCGGACTGTTCGCTCTCTTCAGGCTCGTCGTCATCTCCGTCGTGCGGAACATGAATCGATGGATCGATGAGTTGACCGAGTATGGGAAGTACTCGGTGTTTCTCGCGTTCGAGCTCGAGTAGGAGCTGGCAAGCGTGCGGCGCAGAAGTCAACATAGCAATTGCCCCGGAAGCAGCGAGCCGCGTTGGTGTGTTATCGACGTCGCACAACGCCACGAGAACATGTAGCTTGGACCTCGATGCCAATTTTTCGTCACCGCCGTACTTGTTGAATACTTCTTCACTTCCTGCTATGAGGTTGCACACCAACTCCGTCGCTGCCCGGCGAATGAGCGTATGATCCTCCAACATGAGCAACTCGACCTTGTTAAGCAAGCCAGAAGCGTCGGCTATTCGTGTCGCGACTTCGGAACTCTGCGAAGCCAGGTTCGTGAGCGCCATGATCGCCTCGAAGCGCTGCAGGAGGGTCGAGTTAGAGTGGACCAAGAGGATGGCGAAGGGACGGATCGCATCGTAGAGGGCTCCTTCATTCGGCCCAAAGACCTGGATCGGTGAGGCTGTGATCGCGAGCTTCGCTAGTGCTTGTATGCACTCCAGATCCGTGCGATCTAGTGAAGGGGTTTGGTCTTCTTTCTCGCCCTTCTTCATTGTGGGAGGGAGCAAGCCTTGGATGATGCTGATGAGAGCCTTCGCACCTCCTGCCTGCAATACCTTGCCCCGATTCTCTTGGTCTTCTACGAGGCTAAGCAGCGCTTTGCCAGCAGCCAGCCTCGTGGCACGACTATCCGATATACGCACTGCAGCCGTCAGTACGTCAAGAGCGCCTGCCTGGAGAAGTCGTTTCCCTCGGGCTCTGGCATGTTCGTCGTCTTCCAACGTATCGGCTTCGGACTCCCCATCTTTGCGCGTGCTGCAAGCCATGCGCCTGAGTTTCGCAATCTGAGCCTCTTCCTCCGATAGTTTGGGCCGATACGCGCAGATATTGGCGATTATTGCGATGACGCCGTAAACCGGGGACGTGATGCCCTCGTCGGAAGCCTGCGACACTTGAGCTTTTCGGCGGGGGACGATGGTAAATAGCTTCTGGAGGAACTGCGTGTCCTTAGATAGCTGCTCCTTGATCGCCGGGTCAATGCTCATGTAGGCAAGACCTTCCACGGAGTCGTTCATGGAGGTAGATGCGTCGCTCGAGACGACCAGACCCTTCATCATCGATACAAGGTCCTCATCCACATTCGCCACGAGCGGCTTGTCTGCGCCGGTGGCCGCAGCGGCATCCGCACTCGCCCCTTGCGAGAGCTTTACAAGAGCAACAGCTGCCGCCGCCCGTAAGACTTGATCCTGAGAGCGCTTTGTCTTGCTCTCCAACCACTCTACGTATCGCTGTGGGATTAGAGCACGGCATGCTTTGTGACCCGCTGCCTGAGCAACCAGCTGTGCAGTTGCACGGGCAATTGGAAGGGAAGACGAATACGTATCAACGGCTTCAACGACAGACTCGAGTATTCCGTCCCGCTGCAACACAGCAGATGCAGACTCCCAGTCTACCTGAAAGAGGGCGGCGAGGAAGGAGAGACCAGACACGATCTGATCTTCTGCGATGTCGCTAAGTTTCGCGGTAACAATTGGTGCAATTGGGAGAATGATGGCCTGAGTAGACTCATCGGGCGCCGCCTTTGACGAAGGGTTTGCGTCTCTTAGACGTTGGCATACCGCGGCGAGCACGACGTATGCCTTCGTACGAAGACTATGGGCGTTTGAAGGAGCAAATACGTCTACGAGAACTGCAATTTCATCTGGGAGGGGCTTCCACGTCTTCTCTTGAGTGCGTTTGAGAAGGGCGTCGAGCCTGATATCTGCCTCGGCGGCCATAGTTAGTCCTGACGTCGAGGGAACGTTGAGCAGGGGGTGTGTCTCCAGTCGGAGTGTACGCTTCTCCTGAGCTCATAAGAATATTAGATTACTATGTCCAAGAAATGTTAGCACACCTCCGCCAAGGAACGATATAATCAGATAGCTCACTGAGATGCGTGCTGGGATGCGCGAAGACAAAGCTAGATGTTAATAGACGCCCATGATGTCCCGATCCCGGGCGCTATGACTTCAGATTTTCCTCGCAGTTAGTTATTCTTATTTTCCTAGGCCTCTCGTTTGCTCCCAACTTCACTCATTTACTCGCTCCCCTCCTTTCAGATTTCGGACACAGATCTTTCAAGTAAAATGGACACTGTGGAAGGTTCCTCCACAGGCATTGTTGCCACTGACCAGACCGTCCAGGTTGGGCACACGATCCTTCTGAAACTGCCCAGTGGGGATATTCGACCTCACAAGCTCGAGAAGGACTCGTACGTATCACACGTGTTCGAGAGATTTTCACTCGAATAATTTTGCTGTAGTATCGTGAGCTTAGGAAAGTTTGGCTCTTTCCATGCGAACGACCTCATCGGACAGCCTTACGGCCTGACCTATGACATCGTGGACAAGACTCTCAAAGTCGTGCCGCCGCGTCCTATACAGGAAGTAGGTACGACGCTGTCACTCCTTGGACTCTACTTCCCTGATGCACGTTTGCAGAGGACACCGAAGCAACAAACGAGTTGATTAACGACGGGGAGTGCGTTCAACCATTGACCCTCGAGGAGATTGAGCAATTGAAGAAACAAGGGTTGCCGCCTGCGGTGCGCTGCTCAAGTATTCATTCTATCGTTCACTTACTAACTGCATATACTTAGGAAATCATCAAAAGACAGATTGAACGGCATGCTAACTACCAACTCAAGACGGAGTACAGCAAGGAGAAGTATAAGAAGCGTAAAGAGGCCAAGTTCGTGGTCTGCCCCTTATTTGTGCTCTTTTCTCACAGCGGTATCCTATTGCAGATATTCTAAGGGCTTCACGACCGCTATCCCTACTCTGTTCAATGTGTGCGAGTATTGGTTTAACAAGGACGCGAATCGCCTGCGGGACATACGCCCAGACACGCTGTCGCAAATATTGAACCTGGCTAGCATACGGCCGGGTGGGCGATATCTCTGTGTCGATGACGCGTCAGGTATCGTCGTCACCGGTATCCTTGAGCGGCTCGGCGGTCAAGGTCGTCTAATCACCGTATGTGACATTGAGTCGCCACCCGCTTATCCCTGCATGGTCCAGATGAATTTCTCAAAAGAGGTGATCTCTGTCATGTCCTCGCTGAACTGGGCGACCGCGGACGAAGAATACACGCCAATAATCGCCTCCAGCGAGCCATCAGCCGGGAAGTTCAAGTCGGAAGGGCAGAAGAGTCGACTAAATAAGCGCAAGGTGGCGTCCGACATGCTTATACGGAATCGGGAGGAGTTGTTCGCCGGTGAGTTCGACGGGTAAATAATTTCCATTTCGTTAGTTGCTAGCTTACACTGACATGCATACCCGCAGACTTGTCATTGCAAGCCAGTACGACCCCTGGTCAATATTAGAGAGGCTCTATCCGTGCTTGGGCGGCTCAGCGTCGATAGTGGTGCATAGTCCGCAAGTCCAGATACTCTCAGATCTCCATGCGAGGCTACGCGATGTGCCTGGCTATCTGGGCCCAAGTCTCACGGAAGGTTTCTTGCGTCGCTACCAGGTCCTGCCGGGGCGGACGCACCCCATGATGAACACGTCAGGCACTGGTGGATTCATCTTGCACGCAATCAAGGTGTACGTGGGTCCTTTCTCTCGATTGGCGAGGTACTGAATCTTTCCATGCAGGTACGATGATCCAAACGCGTCATCAGTGATGGCTCACCGCCAAAAAGCAAAAAAAGCGAAGTTGGAAGCTGCTGCAACAGCCACGGCCATAACACTGTCTGCAGAATCGCAGTCTTCCACCCAAGCCTTTACAACGGAATCCTCAGCTCAGACGGCACATCCAGCAGAGGCGAGCAGAGTGGCTACGAAATCGTAGTGATAACGCGATATTAGCCTACGCAAAACTATCTATGTCGCCCATGAATCACTATGCTACCATTATGCGAACATACTGCATATGACGTGCGTGCTAAAGTATCCCAAAACCCAAAAAGGGGCTTATTCGTCCTGCGGCGCACCGAAGAGAAGCTTTTTGTAAAGACGTATGATCACGTCGTTCGCTGTCAGTGTGATAATCCTGCAGAAATACGTTTATGAGCAAAGTACACGCCAAAAGCTGTAAAAAGACGGACGTGTGAGGGGCTATGCGTAAGAAGTGTGCCGTTGAACCTGGGTCAAGACGAGTGAGTGCAATATCAGACGCGAAGGACAGTCACTGACCCTTGTACCAGCCCAAGGGTCCTTCAATCTTTAGTGTCTTCCACAGACAGTCGATGGGGTTTTTATACAACAGACCGACGTGTCTGCCGTCGGGCATGACTTTCGTCGGCTGATTGTACATCCGTGTCAGGGCCTGACAGCGCTCAGGTGAGCCTTGAATCACCTAGAGCGAAGAGTGAGAACGCACTGTGTCAGCCGGTTGCATCACCGCAAGCTGAATCCTTTTAGAACATATCATGGATGGCAACGGCTCGTATACTTACCACACACATCCCAGATACCGAGCTGCTAGCCAGGAAGGTCCATATGCTATCCGCAGGCAGGATGCCGCGCTGGGTCAGCTGATTCTTCGTCCAATTGTACGTCGGTAATTGCACCTGTTACGGTTATACATTAGGCAAGGTCAGGAAGGTCAGATAGCAGAGGAGACGTACTGAGGAACCCATGGCCGTCCTGAGGACCGCAGCATCTACGCCGCGCACAAGACCCCGCAGACCTTCTGCGCGGTAGATGGTCGACAGTGCGTCCCACGAGTGCTTGTAGAAATGCTGGTGTCCTACTGGAAGAGCAGGGGAGTATGCCTGTGTAGAGTACAGTTCACAAGGGTTCGAAACGAATTGTTTCTGAAACTGAACGAACCTGCATACGAGCCTTGATCAGGAATAGAGGGTTCCCGAGGACAGCTTTCAAAGGTGCGATTAGACTGACAGGTCTCGGGAAGTGTCCATTCTGACTCACCGCCAATAGCTCCGCTACCGGCTCCTGCTATCACGGAAGTCAAGGGCATTTGGTCTGAGGGTTTCAGGCCCACCATCTGATTGAGAGTACGTCTAAACGGCTCGTAGAAACCTACATAAAAGTTGATGAATGAATCGGTGTCAAGATGACCTCACTGACCGAGCCTCGAGCCATTCAGCAGAATCTTCATGATGGAACCTTATCTCAACTATATTCTTCCGGGTCAATGGAACGGATTGCTCACTTGGTACACATACTGTCTGGGGTTAGCATACATCCACATGAGGAATCGAACAAACTCACAGCTGGCCCAAGACCTCTCTGCATGCCTCTTATGCCCTCATTCCTCCATGTCTTCACCAACACGTCAAACACGTTCTTGTACACCCGTACACCACCGTCCTTTGCCAGCTCGCCCTGTAGCTGCATGCGTGTCTTGGCCACATCTGGGATGTTAGAGAGCGTCACCTGCGCGAGTTTTGTGTGCCGTCAGCCAAATGATTGGGTTGGGTTAGACGTTCCGACGCGTACCGCGACACTTGCAGCGATGCCACCGAGGATGAAGCCTTCCGCGGTGCTAAGCGGACGTGGCTCGCGCTTTGTTTTTGTGCTCATCGTTGATGTCGTCGCCGCGGAAGAAAGGGCTGAGAGTGGACGGGGTGTGGAGCGAAAGGCCCGTGCAAGCTGTCGCGCCCGGATTCAGCGGCAAATATGCTCCCGACGCGCTCACTCTGATCGGTCAGTAGTGTCGCTTGACCGGCGACATGTTCGAAAACTTCGGTTTCGGGATCCTGAAGCAACAAACATTTCAAAGCTGAACTTATCACGTCAATTCGTGGGCTCGATACCAGCCACCACTCAGCCATCCTGGCCATTCCAGCGTACCAACCACCCATATATCCTCGGTACGCGTCCCACCAACTACCGAATAGGCTAGCCACGAGGCTAGTCAAATCGCGACTTTTCGCCAAGGCGCACTCCACTCTCTGCTCGCTTCTGCGACCATCGCGCTTCGGTCCCCCTTGGTCATCCCTTGCCACCCTCCGGCCCTGCCGCAAGTTTAATCTCTCCAGCCGTCATCTCGTGGGTTAGAGTAGCGATGGTGTGCTTGTATGTGATCAATTTCTATCTGCACGTTGTAGCGAGACCCGCGGCCTGTACAGCTTAAAGCGTTTCCCGGCCACCCGGTACACACTAATGGGAGATTTTCTTGTATTACCAGTGCTTGGGAGCGTTTAGAAAGGCTACTATGAACATAAAAGGGTACATAAACGTCCTCGTAAATGAGGCAAGTATGTTGCGAGCGAATGCGTTTTTAGTACAGCATAAGTTCATGCGCGCTTCACCCGCGCTTGACCCCGTCCAAAGCGGGAATATGAAATGAAACGCCGACAGCGACTGCCTCTTTCACATTTCCATCATCTGCCGACGAAGTTGTCCCGCTTGGCATCTTCACTGCGCGCAGTTTCTTTGCCAAGAACCAAGTACGAGACGGGGGCTAACACTCGCTGACTCCTAAGGCGTAAGGACTGAACGGTAACAAAACATACCATGCCAAGTTAACAAAGACCACTCATACCGTATGATTCACGTTCAAGAACGCACGGCTCACACTTGCTCAGAACTTGCCACAGGCGACCTTCAACACAGTCATTGAAACAGAGCGCGTGAAGATACTCTCATATGCCGCCGGCCAGGTATAATCTTCTCCAAATTCCGGGCTACACATGTTCACGCTGTAATGCCAATTCAGCCGCGATAGGTTCACCATTCATTCGAAAGCAGTGGTGTGTCAAGATGTGGACATGAAAGGCGACATCACCATCGGTGCCGGTATGTGATCTCGTTAATTTGTATCCACGTGCTAACAGCAGTGCAGGCACTATTGTTCACCCCAAGGCGACCATATTCGCCGCAAGCGGTCCGATAGTCATAGGTTCTGGCTGTATTATTGAAGAAGGGGCTATCGTTCTCAACCGGTGCGTATATATGTCCTCGTAACGCTTGCTATTACTCACATGGATCCATTAGACGAAAAGAAGTTATGCGAATAGGTGATGATAACCTTTTCGAGATAGGCTGCCGTGAGTATGATTCATTTATATAAGCCGTCTGCTGTCTTAAACTTGTCCTTAGGTGTTGAATGTCCTATGGCAAATTTTAACACCATCTGCACCCGCGCGAGAATACACTACACGACGAGACTCTCATCCTATTGCGTTGTAGGCGCGGGATGTCTTGTTGTGGCCACTGAAGAAGAGATCCTGGACGAGTACACGGTTATATACGGTCCCGGGGCGGAGCGACGGATATGGAGTGGCCGAGGCAGGCTGCAAGAGGCGGACCTTAGGAAGAAGCACGCCGAATACTTGCGAGAAATGCTCCCCTAAGTTCAACAGGCTCAGGCGAGGAGACGGAGCGTGATTTTTGTTCTTGTTTTGTAGTCTCTTTCTTTGCATGTTGTATGTTGTACACGGAATTTAGGAGCATCTCTTCCGAGTGGCTTTGTGGCGCGGGATAAGCGCCTGGCTGCGTGGGACGCGTCTGCGTCTGCGCTCGCTGTCTCGGACGACCATCGCGCATGCACGACTCGCATTCGATGACCTAAGACTATGGCGCTGCTGAGCAGACAAGGCTGGCTGATCTTAGTGGTATCCGCTCTCGTCGTGCCAGCAACTGTCCATGTCCTCTCGCCGATCACAATTCTGTTGCTCTCTCCGCTCATTCTGCTCTTCACCGTCCTTGCATTTTTTGCTTTGAACCTGGTTTTAGCTCATTTTATCGACGCTTCGAAACCATATATTTCAAGTTCCCCGCCCCTCGCGGGACGTCCTCTCGCTATCTCTACGCCTGCGGCATGGCAAGCCGTTCTTACTCGCTCACAATGGGCTCACAGACCGCCAACTTCACTCCCTCCTCTTCATCCCGACTCTCCTGCGATATCCGCTGCATTGAACGAGATACTCATCTTGATTGTCCGCGACTTCGTGTTATCATGGTACCGCGGGATCTCGAGTTCTCCGTCCTTTCCGACTGCTGTGTCGGCGACGATGCATAGCTCAGTTCAGCGGTTGCTCACCCGTGCTGCGAACCTCGATTTACCTGCATTGGTCGTTAGACGCATAATGCCAGAGGTCACTGCGCACATTGAGCAGTTCCGTCAGTCTGAGATTGCGCTTCGAGGCGCAGGCTTGGAACGGCGTTTAACCCAGTCGGAAGAACTCGACATCCTACTCGCGAGCCGATATGCCAGTCGAGGTGGAGGAAAGCTCCATTCTGCTGTGGACAACCTTTCGTCTACGTTCACAAAGCAGACTGAAGAGAACCACCTACGAAGTCTCGTGGATAGGGCGTTGCCATACATTCTTCCCGAGAAAGAGGCAGGGAGCGAATGTGTCAAGATTGTTGTGCGGGAGATTGTTGCATGTTCGGTCCTATATCCGGTCGTGGATATGCTAGCGGACCCCGACTTCTGGAATCGTATGATCAATCAAGTGGTAGGTGGTCAGCTATATGTGCATGTTCACGCGCTAATATATTATCAGGCGGGAGAGGCCATTCGTCAACAGTAAGTCGTTATGGATTCTTCGAACGAGAGACTTGTTTTCACGCTGATCCTGTCAGGAAGCTCATCTCTAAAGTCCGTAACGTTCTCGAGACTCAGCTGCCTCGTTCCCCGAGACAGACGATGGAACCTCTATTGCCCACGGCCGATAGAATCACCATTCGGACAGACGCAAGACACTTCGAGTCTTTCCTACGGAGCATCAGTCGCTGCTCGTCTCTCTTGGACGCTCGTCGCTTGAAGAACGATATTATGGGAGAGATCAGACGCACCAGGACTGTGCTAGGTTCGCACACTAAATCTTTGTACTGGCCATTTGCTGATGCATCGCAGCCAGCCACGAAAACGAAGATTGGATCAACGGCGAAAAGACAGAAGACATTGTGGCCTTCCTTGATCGTCTATACACTGCTAAGCGCAAGGTCGAGAAGCGTATAGCTGCCCTGGGCGGAGAACCCGACACAGTACGTGGCATGTTATTCTTAGCCGATTTGTGTTGCGGAGACGCTGCATGCAGGAACCACTTTCAACGTCCCCAAAGCCCTTCGCCGAATCACGAATATCTTTGCGCGACGTCCTCACCAATCCGACATCTCTTTCATACTTCATGGAGTTCATGGATCGGCGAAAACGTTCTCTACTCGTTCAGTTTTGGCTCACAGTCGAAAGCTTCAAGAACCCACTTGAGTCCGTGGACTCGGGGAGCGAAAGCGATGACGACGAGCCCATACGCGATCCTACAATGTCAACGACACTGAAAGAAGACATTGTGATGATGAATGAGCTCTACTTTTCTGGAGCTGTTACGGACCCGGCACTCTCGGTTATCTCTCAGAAGCATGTCAGTACCATCCGTTCATTTGGTGTAGAAGACGATATCCCAACCACAGCCGCTGAGAGGCGAGTGCGAAGAAGCGTCATGCTTGCGCAGAGACAGATCGAGCGTGCAATGGAAGAGCAGGATTTTGATGATTTCCAGCGGTCAGAGCTCTGGTTTCGAGTCATTGGAGACAGCGACCTCTCTGCCAGCATGGGTTCTGTCAACCAGTCACGAGCTCGCGTTCCCGTAGCCCAGGAGGACGATAACCAACGCCTTCGCGCGAAAGGTCGTTCTGAGACCGCCCCAGTGATATTCCCCTCTCCACTGGGGTTTTTCCACGTGCAGGAACCGTCCAGCCCAACTGCTGCGGCCTCTCCAGCTACAATAACACATCCCCAGGGTCTCATACGCTCCTCCCCGTCCGATCTCGAGCTTTTAATGTCGCCTGCTGCCGAAGGAGGCTTTTCGTCATCTCGCGCACCTCTCTTCGATGATCCAGACGACGTCAAATTCGACGCTGCATTGGAAGCGCACTCGCAGCGCATAGAAGCTATTCAGGCGGCCCTTACAGACATCATCGCTCTGGACCAGCACGAGAGCTCGCTAGATGGCCCCGGCGCGGGTGGCAGCATGTCTGACAGCATTACTCTCTCTGCTCTCAGCACCAGCTCGCGTCCCGCCTTGGAGAACGCGCGGCCAGATAACGGTTCGGACGACGAGGGCGATATAGAAGACAGGCCCGAAGACCAGGACCAACAGCACAGCTCATTCCAGTTGGCTGGCCCCGGAGACCTTCACCTCTCTCACGAGATTGTGCGACTCGGCGACAAAATTTCCAGTCTGCAGACGCAAGAGGGCATGCTTGACACGCTGATCAAGAAAGCCGAGCTGACGGGCGATGAGCAGGAGCTTAAGCTCTTGCAAAAGTCAAAGTCTTCGCTTGCACGTGAAATCCGCGAACTCAACTTCCAGAAGAGTCAGTACGAGCAGCAGGAGTCAGCCAACCGTCTTGTATCGAACCGCACGAAGATCGCGATTGTCAATAGTACCGTTGGCGAGGAGAGTGGCAAGTCGGTAGTCAGATATCTCATCGAGGTGCAGCAACTTGCGACGGACGGGACATTCGCTTCTGGGTGGGTCGTGGCAAGGAGGTATAACGAGTTCTTCAACATGCATAATAAGCTTCGGGAGAAGTATGCCGCCGTCCGTGCGTTAGACTTCCCAGGGAAGCGGCTTGTCACATCGCTCTCGAATAGCTTTGTTGATTCCAGGCGCATAGCGCTGGAGAAGTACATGCAGGTATGTTCTTTCTAATGGATTAACGCACCATCAACTCAATGCTAGTTATATTTTACAGAGCTTGATTGCGTTACCAGCGGTCTGCGAGAGCTCTGAACTCTGCGTATTCCTCTCTCGTGACTCGCCTTTCATGGCTGCTCCATCTCCCCTGTCGGGCGGTGACAAAGCTATGCAGGGTGCGAATTTCCCCGGCAAGCGTTTCGTACGCACGATGTACAAGTCCGTCGCAGACAGCATCGACGACATGTTCTTTGGGCCATCTATGCTCGACGTCATAATTCAGCGACTGACGTCTCAGGCTGCGGAAGTCGTCGGGATTGTCGGCAGTGGCGTGCATGACGAGGATCTCGTCGCTCAGGCGTTGCGCGCCTCGAGCAGGGCAGCGTCTGAGGATAATTTGCTGCAGCTTCCCGGCGACTTGAAGCCCTTGGAGGGCGAGACGAGCACATCATCGTTTTCATCTCCGATCTGCGACCTTGTACTGGCCGTGTTTGAGCTGAACAAGAAGAACAATTGGTTGAGGAGGCAGGCAATCGTCATCATCTTGCAGCAGGTCTTTGGTGGTACTATCGAGCGGTGAGTGGTGCTTCTCTTATCTCGACTGTGACTCATGCGCTGACTATCATGCAGTAAATTGCGTGAAACCGCGAAGGCGTTCCTAGACGAGCCCCACCTACTGTCTTACATCAGCATATTCCGGAATTCGCTCTGGGAAGGTGGACGGCTGAGAGCGGGAGGGCCACCTCGTACTGCAGAGGAGAAGCTGCGTACTCGCGATGAGGCGAACCGTAAATTGTCCGCGCTGATACCAGGTTTGTTTTTGGTCGTTTTCCCCAAGATTGTCCTGTTGTTCACAAGGACGTAGATTTGGGAGCCAACATGATCGGGCGTTCTAACGCTCGACGCGGTGCTCGACGCCTCTTCGCCGTCCTGCAGAACCGTCGACTAAATCAGCACTTGATATATACCATAGTAGATGAGGTGAGTATAATGAAGCTGCTGTGATATCTCGGCACGGCCGACTGAGTATACTTGCTAGGTATTTTCCGCTTTGTTCCCTGAGCAATGACCCTCATGATCCTAGCTTACACTTCTCGATACCCCGTGTTTCTCTGGTGTATTTTATATCTATATGATGTACGGCCCGAGGCAACGTGAGCTTGTCTAGATTACACGTTTTCTGGAGATATTCGTAGCAACCCAGCAGTCCCTTAGCTGCGACATCATAACATCCGGGTATGGCGTGCGAGTGGAATGTCGGCTCTTCAGCACTACACAGAGCGTAGAGGATGCGCAACGCTTTGCTAGGACAGCTCGTCTTTGAAGAAATCTGAGACCATACCGGTCGTCATTATCGTGGTTGACATGGGTTGTCTATATGCTAGATCCTGAGTAATGATAATAGGCGTATATGCGACAACCTTTCAGGCTTTGATACCATCGAAAGGCTACGAGACCTGAAGTATAAAATCTAAGCTGAGTAGGGCTGGTGGTAGGGAAGTGGGTGTGCTCTATATTATGAAATAGTACTAGTATTCGGATATCCTACTATGGCAGAATGAGTACAACTTCACAAAAGAATATATTTGCGCACCTTTTAACATCCAGGTTCTCTTACGCCCGAGGCTCTCCAACGCTCCATTTGGCGAAGTCGACCACCTCCAGTCCACCTTCCTCTTCAATACCATGAGAGCTCGCCCACTGTCTGAATGCCTCCTTAACCTTAGCACCGTTTGAGTCGGGATACATCATGAACTGTTGTTCGTAGAGCGCGCAGTCGTCCTCCTGGCCCTCTAGTGGCTTGAGTGTCGTGGTTGGAAACCCAACAATCTGGCGGGCCAGCGAACGTTCAAGCCTCACGAGGTCTTGCCGGAAGGCTTGGGCCGCGATGAGCTCACCCAGCTTGGCAGACTTCAGGGCCAGCACTGCCAAGGTGCCAACTTGGCCGTGATTAGGATTGCTGACAGAGCCGTGGCAATATGAGGCGACGCGTAGGCCGAGACCCTGGGCCAGTGGGTCCTGCACGACGGCAACGGCCCGTCCAAGCGTGATCATCTCGCCAAAGCGTGCGATGCTGTCGTGAATTGCGCTGCTGACAGTGACGTCTGTCGCTTGTTGCTCGCCGTCAGACGAAATTAACGGCGCGTCTTTGAGTAGTTGAAGCGGGACGGGTCTGATGAGGTCGCCTGAGTTCTGCGCTTCCGCAATGAAGGCTGCAGTGTGGGCAATATTGGCGACGAGCGCGTCGAAGCGAGCGTTGCGTCCGACGAAGTCTGTTTCGCAGTTGACTTCGACCATGGCAGCCCTGACGCCACCCTTGCCCTTGCCTGTGCCGTCTCCGACGCCACGCGAGAGTATGGAGACTCCGACCATACCCTGCTTGGTCGCGCGGTCGGCGAGTTTCTCAGCTTTCTTCGCCCCGGACTTGACGAGGTCCTCCTGAAGCCATTTGAACGCCGCGTTTATGTCGTTGTTCGAGGCAGCGAGGGCTTCACGGGCCTTACTGATGGAGACCTCAGTGAGCTTGCGCAGCTCAGCAATGAGCTTGACGGGGACGTTCGGCGGTGTCGACGTCGAATAAAGGCGGAGCGAGGGCAGGGCGACGCGGGTAAGCATGATGGTTGTAGATGAACGCGCCGGGCTAGCTTCAACTTCCGAGGCACGCGTTTTGATCCCGCCGCTTCATCAAACTCGCCTCCATAAAATTCCTTCTTCCTCCTGCCGTCATTCTCGCTCCTCATCTCACTTGCTCACTTTCTCAGGGGGGGGGGCGAAAATGGATTTCAAAGTTCCATCAGCGATCCCTCAAGACCTACAAATCATCCAGGACTTGATAGGGGAGCTGCCGCCCCCGCCAGTGAGCAAACTCGCGACACCAGAGCCTGTGCCCCGAAGTGACATCGACGACTCTGTTGGCTCTTCGGACGCTGAAAATGATACGGACAGCGAGAGGGAGGTCGAAGAGAATATTCTTGGGCAGCTGGACTCGGACTCGGAGAGTACACCGCCTATGTACGTTCTGCGTTAGTCCGCACTCCATACTGGTAGAACTGAGCGATTCGTGCTAGGGATAATCCAGGGGACACCACCAGTGATTCTGACTCCACGTCAGACACGGACAGTGAGTCTGAGAAAGAGGCTTCGACCTCCCCAAAACAGTCCAAGGTCGAGGATCTCGCCATGGATGATGAAGAGGATGGAGGGGCAGTGGTGTCCCCCGACCAAGTTCGGACCAAGAACGAAGCCTCTGAGATCCAAATTGTCGTTCCCGAGGTTGACCATATTGAGGAGCATGAAAACATAGAGAAAGTCGGCGAGATCTCGAGCATTGTCGACAAAGTCGTTATAGTGAAAGGGCTTCCTCAGCAGGTACAAGGCAGAGTTTCAGACAGAGCTCTCGATTCCGATACTCTTCTCGTGTTTGAAGATAGAATCGTTCTTGGTTATGTGAGCAGCTTTTCTTCCATGCCGAAATTGCTGCTTAATTACTTTCCCTCAGATCTGGGAAACGTTTGGACCAACTAGCCAGCCATTCTACCGAGTGCAGTTCAACAATGCTTATCCTCCGGACGCTGAGAAAGTTCAAATTGGTCGTGAAATCTTCCACGTCCCTGCACGGAGCAAGTTTATCTCAGTCAGCTATCTAAAGCAGATGTTCAAGGGAAGCGATGCAAGCAACGCTCATGATGAGGAACCTGTGGATGACGAACTTGAGTTTTCCGACGACGAAGCGGAGAGAGAATACAAGCGTGCGCTGAAGGAGAGGTCGGTTTCATGTTATCACTTCCGAGCACACGATCTCAACATTTGACAGACGCGCTGGCATCGATCCCGCTTCAAAGCAAAGAACCCTGTCTCTAAGAGATGCTGACATGCTGGATGAACTTTATGGCGCAAGTCCCTACGATAACCCCTACGACGACATGGACCTAGGCGCTGGACCCTCGCGCCCTCCACCTCTCAAGTATGACGATCCCTATTCAGACTCCTACGGTCTCCCAGATCCACCACTCGCGACTAGCTCCGCGGATACTAGATCGGAATCAGACTTGCCGCGAACTCACCAGGATAGGACTGCTGGTCATGGTCGTGGTCGTGGGAAGGCTGCTAGTCGAGAGTCTTTCGGACGAGATCGTGGTCGTGGTCGTGGTCGTGGTCGGGACCGTCCAAGAGACCGAGGCAGAGGACGCGGACGTGGGAGAGGTGGCGGAGCTGCTAGTTCTTGGGGTGGTCACCAAGGTACGAGCTCATCAGAGGAGTACAGTGCCCGGATATCTCGACCGCTGTCGCCCACGTCTGCCGCGATTGCCCGCGCGACGGGGCAACACGCCGAAGGCGGCGTGCATGCTGAGGCTCGCCAGGGTATGGGTGTCACCTCAGCGCCTGTGGACAACGGCTGGGGCTACCAGCAGTACCCTGGTCAGATGGACTACAGCTATGGGTACCAGCAACCATTCGTCCAGCCACACATCAACCCGCGCTTTGCGTCACAGTTCGGGATGGATTTTTCGTATGCAGCGCAAGCACAGTCGATGCAGTATGCTGGGTATTCTCAGTACGGCATAGGATACACTGGCGAACATGCATCCACAGGCGAGTGGGTAGGAAACTCAGCTCAGAGCGGGGGCGACGTCCAACACCAAAATGACACTTCATAGAACATGCAGTATCCTCATTATCACCTCTAGCAGTCACTATAATGCATCGCAAGTTCCTGATCTTGAATACCGTTCCCTGTGTGCGGCCAATGGTCGAACTTACTGATCTTCATGAGCGCTCACTATAATGTTAGGTTGCTGGCTTCACACCTCAGAGGCGGTCTTCAGCATTCGACTTTCGACGTCAACGTCAACGCCAACGTGCACATCGGCATTGACCTCGGGCATCACTCCTCATCAGATGGTGGACGGTTCTGTCGTGTGTCCCCATCCAGCCGCAAGTCAGCGATCAGTAGTTCGGTTCGTCAAGCCTGTCTTGTGAATGGTAATCTGCCCGTGTCGGATGGCACTGCGCTCCTTCCCCTTGATGTATCATTACCGCTACCGTCTGTTAGCAGGGGCCAACGACCCTGCTAGTACTTAGGCATTAAGACTCCGAGATGGTTGCTCTTTCGCCCCGCACAAGCACTACACGCACTTGTACTCATGACCTCCGTCGTCGACGTCCTTCACGAAACTCGTGCGACTTTTGAGAAGCTGGCCAGCGGGTCGTGTCCACAAGTCTTTGATACCCAGTACTGCAATGCCAGCCTCTTGAGTGTATACGAGGTGTGCATCTTAGCTGATTAGAGGCTATGTGTTCGCATTAATGCTCGTCAATGCTCCTTTTTGCAGCAAGCCACAGCTATACCAACGCAGAAAGAGCAGGACTTCAAGCTTCACCGGCTATACTTTGCTTTGGTGCGTCACTTTAAACCATCACCACGAGTGGGTACCTTCGCACCTCTATTGTTCGTTCTGTAACGTCGCTGTTGCAGATGAGAAGAGCTGTACTACCTTATGTTTGTGCCAAAATTCGACACGTTCTTCCTCGAGTCGTGGCAGAGTGTGAGACGTTTCACGATGACAACGGCTCCCTTCGAAATTTTTTTTTGTCTCTCCACTCCCCTCTGGAGCAACGTATCGTTTCGGCAAGATCGCTCTTGAACACCAACATGAACTATACGACGGCACGAAAATCCGGTCAGGAATTGCTTGCTAAGCATGTATGTCAATCATGGACTTCGATTTTCGTTGCCGCTGTTATTGCCTTCCGCTCAGCTAATGCAAGAGATCACCTAGATCGAGCCGGAGAAAGTGAAGGCTTCAGGCATAGCTGAGACAGAGATGAGATTCATTTCGGACACGTCAAATGAAAACATGGGCCCATGTATTCAGAATGTGAGGTTCTTTCGTCAATCCTACTCGCTCCGGCGCAGACAGAGGGAGGCAGGATTACGATCCTTCTGCCAGCTGCCTCGGGAATGTCATGATACCACCATGAGTACTTATACTCACCCTTGACTACGTCTGATAACTTGCATCTAATCCGTGCGTCCAGACTGCAGCCGCATCTGTCTCTCTGCTTGCCTCTCTGTTTGGTTAGGATGATCAGACACGTCTGCCGTAAAGGCTGGTATTTGATCTCTCAGCGTGCAGTATCGTATGGACGATGAGAAGAAGGACGTTGGATCCACGACTCAGATCCATGAGTTCAAGTTCGAAGATAGGGAAGTGTACGTGGGATGATGACGTGCACCGATGCACCGATTAATACACGATAATTTACCACAAGATACTAGGATAAAGCTTTAACATATACCTAGCAACCGTGTAGAATCAAACACACAAAAGACATTTTGCACACATATAAATGCACATTTTCTTGGCTTGGAATATACGGATCACGTTGACGCGTTGCGCCCACCCGTGCGGCCGCCACCAGCTCGACGCTTTCCCCCACGCGCAGAACGCTTCGTGTTGCGCCTCGCTTGGCACGGGTCACATACCCACGACCCTTCGGGCGCGACGGTGAGGCCGATGCACGCAAGGTGGAACTGAGGGGGATGTCATTAGCACGCGTCGCAGGCAGCGCAGGGCGCATACACTTACCCATTCCTTTTCGCAGTTTTCGTCATCGCATGCGATCATCTCGCCAAAGCTAACGCGGTCGCAGACGCAGTATGTCCTGCCGTCGTCTCCGTCCCCGTCGGCATCGCCGGCCGCAGCGTCTGTGTCGACGTCCTGCACCACCGACGCTGCGGCGCTGTTCACGAAGTTCCGCGCGACGGGCATGCCGGGGCCTTCAAGCTGTCCGGTCGCCCACTCGCTGATGCCGTTGCTTTCATACGTTGTGCCGTTGGAGTACGGCGCGGGTAGCGACGGGTGCGACGACGACGGCGGGTGGCGGAACTCCGGGCGGTTGTCGTCGATGTTCGCAAGGGCGTTCTGCCCTCGCGACCGCTTCACAGAGGACGCGGTACTTGCTGCACGCTGCGATGTGTTTTGACGTGACATCGGAGGGGGGAGGGCGGACTGGGGAAGGTGGGATTGCACCGAAAGGACAGACTCGGTGGGGGATGCGGCGCGATCGGTTCTGCAAGAGGCACCATGAACGCCTGAAACAAAGTAAAGCGCCGTACTACGCACTTTCTACGACCATTACGGGCCCTGGACGCGTCTCCTGTCTTTGGCTTCGCGGGACTCCGGATTGGGTCACCATCGTCGGCGGCAACCCGCTTCCTTTTGTTCGGGGTGGCCTCCATCACTGCGCCGTTCGAGAGCAATGCCGATCGCCTCTGTCGTCTGCCGCCCTCGCCAGCTATCCCCGCTGGCACATAGTGACGTGTGGCAACGTGCGGGTACACCGTCTTCCGCGAGAGCATGCCCGCCATCTGCCCGTACTCGGGCTCGGGCATGTGCTGCAGGAGGCTCGTCATGTGTGCCTTGTGACTCTTGAGGCCGTCGGCGGCGTGGCAGGCAACGCGTATCTTATCGTCGGCGCCGGGTTTGAGCCTGCTCACCTCGTCCGCGATCTCGGCGAGTAGCCAGAGGCGGTCCTCCTTCGAGGAACTGCGATTCTCGATCATGTTGGTGAGCTCGATGACCTTGGAGGTCACGGAGGTCATGGAAGAGGATAGCACGGCGTCCAGCTCGCGCAGGTCGGCGAAGTTGCGCGAGAGGTCGAGGGGGACAGAGTCAAGGGTGTGCGTGTACTCCTGGAGAATGGCGAGCGAATGTGCCGTCTTCTGGGGTGTGCTCGAGGACGCTGCCGGGGGTACTGGGGAGCGGGGTGGTCCCATAGAGGTCATGGCTGCCGATAACAACGTCTAGAGCGCAGAATGCGCAGGTCTGAGCCCGTAGTGGATCTGGTGAAAGGCAAACTCTGGCTGCAGACCATGGCCCGTGCGCAACTCGCACTCTCTTTTCGGCAAAGGCGCTTACTTACCCAGTAGATCCTGAACCCCGATCGCCCATTGCCAAGCGCCGGAAATGGTTCTCGTCTGTTCTCTCGCAGGCCCAAGCAGATTTCGGCTTTCACAATTCTCCTGCACAACCTATGTACTTTCTCTCCCGGGGGTAATTGAACTGTAATAAATTCGTGCTAGGATCTCTTCGTTTTGTGCGCTATTCGCTGTGTCGCTGCAAGGCCTCATCTACCGCGCGTCTCACCTCGCGAACAGTCCCTTCTTTAGTCCGCCATATGCCCCATTCGCCCTCACCACCTATACCCATTCCCATACCCTCGGGCTTGTAGGCCATCTCTGATGGTACCCATCCCCCGGCGCTGAAGTGTATTTCCCGCAGGCCCAGTGGCAGCAAGGCGTCGAGGATGACGCCAACCGTCTTCGGATTAATTCCAGATCCAGGCAGGATACTTATCGAACAGGACTTGTGCTCGTTTACTGAGTTTATCCTGAAGAGTTCTTCGAGGACTTCCAGCGACTGCGCCGACGGCGCTGTCTTGCCATGCCCGCTGGTCAGGACCCGCGTAATACCAGGTATGGTCTTAACTGTGCGAAAAGCTTGTACGACGCCTTTAACGATAAAATCCTCGATAATGGGAAGGAATGCTACCTTCTTCCAAATTTAGTGTCATGTCAATCGCCCTGTGGAAGCAAACTGAAGCACGAATGTTTTCAGTGTCCACGTTGCTCTTGTTCATATGACAGACCAACCCTCCATCGGCCGAGCTGCTGCTGCGAGTCTACCGCGTCGTGAGTCTTACCGACTCTCATGGACGATAAACCTACTGAATCGTTGCCTTTATGTCGATTGCTGCGTCCTTTGTCAAAGCTCCGAATACTACTCCATCCGCTTTCAAGGCGTTGAAAACGGATATGTCCTCGAGCATGACTTGGAGCTCAAATTTGGTGTACACGAAGTCCCCCACGCGAGGTCTGATCATGACCATGAGGGGGACGTTCGGCACAGCTTCCCTGACAGCTTTGTAGAGACCTACGCTGGGGGTTGTCCCGCCGCCCAAGGCGAGGTTACCACAAAGCTCGAGACGGTCGGCTCCCCCTTTGACAGCTCTAATTCGTAAACATGAGTTTAGCGGGACCATGATAACCGATGCTTCAACGAACGCAGTCGCAGATTCGACGGAGTCTGCACAGACCTCGATGAGTATTCGCGACATCTGGGGATTTGTTCGAGGATTGACGTCGGCGGACTGTCGACAGTGGTAGGATCTGAATCTACCCTGCCGATCGAGGAGGACTCCAGGAACGCGCAGTCTGCTGGACCTGATCGGTAATGTTACTAAATACGGTATGTTTTGATCGAAGATGCTGATCGAGTGATCAGGGACGAAAGCGGGATAAGAATTATTAAAGCCTCAGGCCACGGAAAACGCGTCTATCGACGTGCTTTGCGATAATCCCGCCCGGCCTCCACAGGATTGACGGTGCAATGTGGCAGAAGGCGCTTCATGCTGAGGGTTAGAGCGAAAGCAGAGCGCCGCGGCGCGCGGTGTCCTCTACTGGCAGCCCATTCTTGTTAGCACGATACTCACGTCTGCTGTGATCGACGCACGGCCCGACGAGGCGACGCAAGCGAGTGCCCGCGTTATGCACGTTGCGGTCGTCGGGGACGTCGTCCGGCAAAGGCGGCGGCAGCTGCGGTGCCGCTGTTCGAAGTACGACGCCGGGGCGGGCTCGATCGGACGGACGGACTACGCCTTTCCCTGCCGATCGGCTCTCGGTGCTCAAGCTCAAGGCCTGACAGGACCCCTGACATTGGGCGGAGAGGCCTGATCCTGATTTTCGCCTGACCACGCTTTTTTATCCGCACAAAATTTCGGCCCTCTGGCCCAAAAATGTACGGATTTTCCTCCGGCCCCGGCCTGACGGCCGGGTTTGGATGCGGATCAGTCACCAAGCCTCCACATCTTCAATAACTCGTGCCGTTCTGTGTCCATAGACATCCCTGTAGTACAACTAACATCTCTATATACAATAAACTAAGTTTCTGTCTCACCTTCGTCACCATCTTCTGCCGCCACTGCCGCCGCCGCTCTCTTCTCCCCTCGCCTCCGGAAAGTATCGAGGGCCTTCACGGCAGCTTCAATCCTGGAACGGGAGAGGGCATCGTTTAGCTTATAGAACACTTTGTATGTGATGCTGTTCAGGCTAACCATCTTGCGATCATATGAAAAAGTCGGGATTTCACCGGGAAGGGTGCGCAAGAAATGATCAGATGGGGCGTGAGCGCGAGGCGGCTACCAGCAAGTACAACGGCGGGTGTGTCAGAGGCATGATAGATTTGTCTTATCCCTATCCACTCGGCGGGGTTCCAGCTTGCCTCGACGGCAGCTTCGCTGTCGGAATCAACTTCGACTGTGCTGCCAGGAGCCATTGACGGAGGCAGGAGCAACAGCTTGCAGCGGCATGCCAACTTGGGCAACTCAGGACAGAAGCAAAGTGACTCTATCCTAGCTCTGACTGTCCCCTCGAGTAGCATACAGGTGTACAGACACAGGAATAACATATTTTATTTGCTCCTTCACTTGCATTCTTCATTCTTACTTGCCTATCGTAGGTGAATACTGACAGCGGTGCGATCTGAATAGCCACGAGAACGATAACCGATTCCCGGTTGGGGCACACTTTGTATTAAATGTTGCACTATATATGGAAAAACCACCAATATCGACGAGGAAAGTGTCTCAAATATATATATATATATAACCCTCGGCACCAGCCAAATAAGGCTGCTAACGTGCCCCAAAAATTCGTATACGGACGGTCCTTAGGCCTGGTAGAGCGGCCGCTGGCGCGGTACGGATTATTCCTCAGGCCCCTCCGCCTAATGTCAGGGGTCCTGGCCTGACTGACGTTAAATTTAGCAAGCTCGGGCTCGGACTACTGTCGAGGCGGAGCGTCGGTTGACTGCGCGCGGCGCAATGGAAGTTAATCTGCCTGCGCAGGCACGACCGCATAGAGATTATGTCGGCGCGACTTCAGTTATCTGAGAATCAGATATGCAATGTTGGTTTTTTTCTGAGACAGTCTGGCATGTTACAGTGCTTTGCAGGCCAATCTGCAGTCGCCGAAAATTTTACGCGTATTTGTCCCGTACAAATTAATGCCATAACAGTCTTGAATCAGTCACAGCAGAATGAGTCACAGCGGAGAACTCTTGCAATGCATAATGTCCAGGTGCGAAGGTCATTTATATTCGGCCATACTCTCCGGGCTTCAACCTCATCGAGGAAGTATCCCACGGCATCAATCCCTGGCTTCACTGCCATGAATCTGAGGCGGTAGATGCTGCTGTCCGACTGTGGCTTATACACCAAGCTGCGATGGCAACAGCCCTTAAATTGTGCTGAATTTTGCAGAAAGCCGGTGCTTATGCTTCAGTTATACATAAAGTTGCTTCACCTCCAAATCCTTCGCCAGACTCTGCCTCGGCGTGCTGGAATAAATAACTGTGACTGTCCGTGACTCCCGGTGACTGACCTGGTACTACTTATGGTATTAATTTGTACGGGACAAACACGCACAAAGTTTTCGGCGACTGCAGATTGGCCTGCAAAGCACTGTATATAATACATGTCTCAAGATTAGCAACGTCACGCGTCACAGCAGTTGATTGCTAGTTTCTGTGCAAGTTGCACCTGCGGCGGCGGTTTCTTATTAGGCCTTAGGTCACAAGTCACACATGGCCAGTTGCCCGTTGCAAAGTGTCACGTTTCGCCCTCGGTTGCTACCATACGTTCCTCTACAGTACTCTCCATCCGGCAATATTTTCTACACCAAAATATTTTGCATCCAACGCTGGTACAAGCAAGCCTCTGGGCTCGCAGTACTGAACACATAGCTTCGACTGTGTCATCCGTGGAAAACTAGGCATGTCACGTCAGAAAACGGTTCGTCATGAAGCAAGCACACGTTACATGAAACGTACAGTGAGCTCGACGGCCGTTTAAGCAGTGACCTGTTTGACCCGTGTCCTGAATGTGTCGAACATGTTTCCAAGTCAGATCAAGTCAGAACCGCGCGGACTCGCCCCCGAGGGTGTCATGAATATTACACAATCCGGATGGTTCTCCCGGATTCCATAGTATTCTTTCACTTTCTATACACCTCCGTATATTCGTAGGATATTCTAGGTATTCAGTCTGACATGTATATAAGGAGCCTGCACTGCTCAATAACAAGCCAGACTTGAGCTGGTCTTTCCTCACCTATTTTCCTCTCGTCTGTCTTCTCAGCTTCGTCGTAGCCCAGTCCAGTTGGATTGTAGGTTGCTGACATTAGCTCGAGTCTCCACCAACTGCCCTACGACGATCCTCGTTACTCTCACACCAACCATCACCTAGCTCCACACGACGATCCATCTCATTTACCTAACCGAAATCTCACCCCAATCCTAACCCTATCGACTCTACCGCATCAAGACCCCGGGAACCCTTTTTCGTGCACTTGCACATAACCACTTCCCTATCCAATCCCTGGTAATCCCTTGCTCCGTTGGAGCTCGACCAGGTCGTGTTTGTATTGGATTCGTGCCCCGGCCTACCATAGCTGGCGCTAAACGTGTTGCGCAGTGCACACGGTTATCCTGAGTACGACGTGGCAACCGGCTGAGGCTGGGCGTCGGAAAAGAGACAAAGCTTCGTATCGGCGATCCCTACCCCGGGCGTCGGACCGAGAGAGACATAA